CTTAATTTGTCAGTGATAATGGTTCATTATATTTGTATTAGCCTATTCCTGTTGCTTATAATAAAATACCTGTAATTGGATGATTTTTAAAGAGAATGAAATTTATTGCTTACAGTTTCAGAGGCTGGGAAATCCAAAGTCCAGGGAACACATCTGGTGAGGGTCTTGGTGGTGGCAACAGTGACCCAGGGATCTCACGCAGCAGAAAATGGCAGAGCAGAGAGAGAGAGTTCCTCATGTACTCTCCTTTTAAAGCCTTCGCAACCATGCCACTGACCACCATTATTAATCCATTCACTATGGCATGGTGCTACAATCTAATAACCTTTTCAAGGTCCCATTTTTAAATTACCATAATAGGATTTTCCACCTTCAACAGTTACAGTGAGGATTTAAGCCTCAATGAGGTTGGGAGTAGGGGCATCTAGTCCACTACATTCTGCCCCTGGCCCCCCCAAACTCTTGTCCTTTTCACAAACAAATACATTCATTTTGTCCCCAAAGTCTCAACTTGTTTTAACCCAAAAATTCAAAGATCAAGGTCACATCTATGAAATCAAAACAAGTTATCTACTTCCAAGATTCAATGGTAGGACAAACATAGGGTACATATTTCTATTCAAAAGGGAGAAATAGGCCAGAAGAAGGGGGTAACAGGTTCTAAGCAAGTCTGAAACCCAGCATGGAAGGCATAAATTTCAAAGCTGTCAAATCATGTATCTTTACTCCGTGTTTGACATCTGCAGGCTGTTGTGGTCAGCCCTTGGGCAGTTCCATTCCTATGGCTTGCCTGATCTCAGGCCACACTTGGGCTCTCCTAGGCTGATGTTCCACTCTGGTAGTTCCACAGGCATGGGGTCACCATGGTGGTCCCACTCTCATAGCTCCACTAGACATGATGCTGATGGGAGTTTTCTGCTGTGACCCCATATTTCTGCAACTCCGACCCCATATTTCTGCTCAACATTGCTCTAGTGACAGTTGTCTGCAGTGACTCCACCCCTGCAACTGATCTCTTCCTGAGCCCCCAGGCTTTTCCATACACCCGTTAAAATCATTAAAATCAGGGTGGAGTCTCCCAAGCCTCCATAGCTCTGGTGTTCTGCGAGCCTACAGACTTAACATCACATGGACACTGCCAAGGCTTCCAGTTTGTAACTTCCAAAGTTGCAGGTTCAGCTACACCTGGGGCCAATTTAGCTGGAGCTGGAGCAGCCAGAGCAGGTGTTTGTTGGTGTAGGAAGCAGCTTCCTGAGGTGACCCTGGGCAGTAAGCCTCTGGAACGCTCCTAGGGCGTGTCCCTGAGACCATTCTGTCCCCCTAGACCTCTGGGACTGTATTGGAAGGGTTGGTCCTAGAGGCTTCTGTAATGCCTTCAGGGCCTTTTCCCCTTCTCTTGATAATCCCCTTTTTTTTGTACTAATATTCATATAACCATTGCATTTTTTTTTTTTCTGAAAATGCTCTCTGCTTCTCTACCACACGGCCAGGATGTGAATTTTCCAAATCTTTATGCTTTGCTGCCCTTTTAATTATACATTCTGGCTTTATGTAAGCCTTTTCTGTCATAACTCAGCATAGGCTGTTATGAATAATCTTGAAGTTTTCTGACTGTTTTGCCGCTTAGGAGTTTCTTCCACCAAATAGCCTGGGTCTGTATCTTTAAATTTCACAATTCCATAATACTTTGCAGCATGAAGAGAATGTAGCCAAATTCCTTGCCAGTTCCTAGCAAGAGTGATCTTTGCCCCAGTTTCCAATAAATCCTTTCTCATTTATATCTGAGATCCCCTCAGTATGGCCTTTACCATCCATATTTCTATCAGCATTCTGGTCGCCACCACTTAACCAGTACCTAAGACATTCTGAACTTTCCCTAGTTCTTGTTTTCTAAACTCCCACCAGCAGCTAGGCTTTCTCTAGCCTACTCCTTCAAATTTTTCCAGTGTTTGTCCATTACCAAGTTCCAAAGCCACTTCCACATTTTCAAGTGTCTGTTTTATGCAACACCCCTCTTCTGTGGTACCAATTTTCTTGTTTCTATTGACATAGTTTCTTGTTCTTATAAAAATAATGAAATTACTAGGTGAAAACTTCCACTTTAAGGAAATAATACTCGTAACAAAAAAAAGTACCTCAGAGCTGTACAGTGCTCTTATTTCCTTTGAAGCTGACGATCCTGGGAGGTTATTCAAAGGAAAACAAGAAAGTGATAGCAACTATTGAATAGGCCTTCACTGTGAAACCTGGACACTGTTTTTGGCTAAAACATTTGGCCTATTTATCTTTAGTCAGTGTATTAGTCAGGGTTCTCCAGATAAACAGAATCAATAGGATATGTTATAATGATATGAGAGGGGATTTATTAGGGGAATTAGCTCACACAATTGTGAAGAGAAGTCCCATGACAGGACGTTGCAAAGTGGATGACAGTAGCATGGCTCAGTCCAAGTCTGGAGCCTCAAAACCAAGGAAACTGATGGTATTCTTGGTGTAAGTCCTGGAATCCAAAAGCTGAAGAGTCTCGAGCTCTGTTATCCACAGACAGGAGAGTAGAGTGTATCCAAGCTCCAGCAGATAAAGACAGTGATTCACCTTTTTTCTTAGTTTTCTATTCTCTCTGGGCCCCCAGCAGATTAGATGGTTCCTGCCCATATCGAGGGTGAATCTTTCTCACCCATTCCACTCAGGCTCTCATGCTAATCTGTTCTTTGATGGTGGCTTTACAGCAATGCCGGGGTCTCACATGGCAGAAAATGGCAAAGCAGAGAGAGAGAGAGAGAGAGAGAGTTCCTCATACACTCTCCTTTTAAAGCCCTCACAACCATGCCACTGACCACCATTATTATTCCATTCACTATGGCATGGTCCTACAGTCTTATCACCTCTTCAAAGACCCACTTTTCTTTTACCATAATAGGATTTCCACCTTCAACAGTTACAGTAGGGGTATAAGCTTCAATGGGGTTGGTGCATATTTAATCTACAGCAATATTAATAAAGTTTTCATTGTAATTAATGTAAGTATATTTCATATTAAAACAGTGAGCTAGTAATAATAATATTTAACATTTAATAAATACATATTAAGTGAAAGGCCATGTTCCAAAGTGTGAATTTATTTAATCCTCACAATAATCCCATTCATAGATAATAATATTATTGTCATTTTACAGATGAGAAAACTCTGAACTCTGGCAATAAGAGGAAATAATTGTTCAATCAATGTCCACACAGCTATTAAGTGGCAGAGCAGAAATTCCAGTGATATAGTTTTCTCAAAGAATGCATGTTATTGCATAATATGCCCTAAAATTCGTATTGATAAACATGAAACATAACATATGCCATGGTACCTTTGGTTTTTATTATTTTTAAGTACTGCAAATGAATTATTATCCATATAATTATACTAGTATTTCTAGGTAGCCCTTTGATACTTTATTAATTCTTCTGAAATTCTTGAAATATAATTATTACATGGAATGACGTTTATGTCCATAATATTGCAGTTAATCAAAACAGATATTTAGAAGTAAATCATATTTGAAACTTTGGCCAGAACCTTGATGATTAAAGTTCTCAAGGAACTTCTTACTAAAATTACCAAACATTGAATTATGATTAATTTGATATTGTTTCCAATATTTTTTATACCAATATTTTACTAAAAAAAAATAACTATAATTAGTTCATAACATAATGCTACAAAATACATTATCACACATTGTGTGACACATTCAACTAAAGCTAAGAGGTTAAATGTATGATTATTTTTTTCTGGTAATGAACTGTACTAGTTCATTTCTGTTGCTTATAACATAAATTCTTGGAACTGGGTGGGTACTTTATAAGAAAAAAAAAATACTGTTTACAGTTTTGGAAGTCCAAAGTCCAGGGAACACATCTGGTGGGGGTCTTCTTTGGTGGTGGCTTTACAGCAATGCAGAGGTCTCACATGGCAGAAAATGGCAGAGCAGAGAGAGATAGCTCTTCCTGTGCTCTCCTTTTAAAGCCCTCAGAACCACACCCAGGACCATCATTAAACCATCAACTTAATCACCTCTTCATGACCCCACCTTTCAACTACCACAATAGGATTTCCCGCCCTCAACAGTTACAGTGGGAATTAAGGTTCTAATATATGGACTTTTGGGGACACGATTCAATCAATCCACACCATTCCACCTAGACCCCCAAAGTTCATGTCCTCACGGGTAAGTACATTCATTCCATCCCCAATCAACTTGTTTCAACTCAAAAAATCCGAAGTCCCATCTGTGAAATTAAAACAAGTTATCTACTTCCAAGATACAATTGTGGGACAAACATAGGGTACATATTCCCATTCAAAAAGGTAGAAATAGATGAAAAGAAGGTGGTAACAGGTCCTAAGCCAGTCTGAAACCCAGCAGGGCAGGCATCACATCTCAAAGCTGGAAGATCATGTATCTTGACTCCAGGTCAACAACCTCTGCACGCCGTAGCAGGGGTTGGGTCCCCGAGTCCTCGGGTAGCTCCACTCCTATGGCTTTACTGGTCTGCAACCATGCTGTGGCTCTCACAGGCTGGTGTCACACACTAGAAGCTCCATGATTCTGGGATCTCCACTCTTATGGCTCCACTAGGCATTGTGCTGATGCGGTTTCTCTGCTCCAACTCTGACCCCACATTTCAGCTCGGCATCGCTCTAGTGAAGGCTCCACAGCATTCTTCTGGTCACCACCACTTAACCAGTCTGTAAGAAGTTCCAAACTTTCCTCACCAGCATCTAGGCACCCAGTTCCAAAACTGCTCCCACATTCTCAAGAATTTTTATAAGCAACATCCCACTCCTCTGGTACCAATTTTCTGTAATAGTCTGTTCTTGTTGCTTATAACATGAAAACTTGGAACCGGGTACTTTGTAAAAAAACCAAATTTATTGTTTACACAGTTACAATGGGAATTAAGCTTCTAATATGTGGACTTCAGGGGACACAATTCAATCAATTCACACTATGAACCAAGGACGACTTTGGAGTTCAAATCCAAAATCAGTACCTGATTTCACCATTCTGTCGTATTTATTTGAACAACATATTGTAATGACGGTTGAAAAGGTTGTTTGTATTTTTCTCATTAGAACATTGTACTAAGTTTATGAATAATTTCTTTTTTTTTTTTTTGGCTTTTTGTGAAATCGGCCATACTGCACTCAGCCAGTGAGCTCACAAGCCATCCCTATAGAGGATCCGAACCTGCAGCGGGAGTGCTGCTGCGCTCCCAGCACCGCACTCTCCCAAGTGCGCCACGGGCTCGGCCCTGAATAATTTCAAATAAATTTATATCACGTGTCTTTTGCTTGAAGACTGTCTCATTAAATACACAACTCATTTTCCCACTGTTTCTTTAGCTTATGCATGTAAAAATTTAAAAGACAGAAATATGCTTATATATATAATATTTTAAAGATATGTTATATATTGCTTTGTAATTGTCTTATATTACACTGTGTAGATTATAACATCTTTTTTTTTTTTTTTTGTCTTTTTCGTGACCTTGTGACCGGTAAGGGGATTGCAACTCTTGGTGCGGTGTCACCCGCCCCGGGCTCAGCCAGTGAGCGCACCGGCCACTCCCATATAGGATTCGAACCCGTGGTGAGAGCTCCGCCACGCTTCCAGCGCCGCACTCTCCCAGGTGCGCCACGGGGCCGGCCCCAAATTTTATTTATTTATTTATTTTTGTCCTTTTTGAGACCNCCTCTGGAAGAAATTTTGGACCAAGTAAATAATGGTCTATGAGCTAAATTAGAAGCTTTTTTCCAACAAGGTCTTGAAGCCAATTATCTGGTTTCTCATCTATTTTCTCACCTAAGTTTGTCCTGGGAGGGATTTGGATAAAGGCTAAGGCACTGTTGACATGCATTTGGACAATGAATTTATCCTTGTTTTCATTTTTAATACATTTCATTTTGTTTGTTATTTGCATAAGTATTTTCACGTAATTTAATAACTTCATAAAACAAAATTCATGCAACATTGAGTTTTATGGAGGTGGTATCACAATAGAGGTATTACAGTCTGAATGTAAACATGGCAGCTTTAATCTTACACAGAGTCCCCTGAGTTCAGATTGGCGAAGTTCTGTGACCCTTGTGAATTCGAAGGCAGGAAGAATCAGAGATATGAATCAGTGTCAGAGCAAGTAGTACGATTTCTTCTGTCTTCACCTACCAGTCTTCTCAATATTTTTTAACCTCTGTGGAACAATAACTTCAGCAAGTATTTGCAATACAGCTATCATAGCAAAATATACCTAGATGTTGTAATGATGATAGTAACAGCAGATGTTTCTTTTCATTACTAACTCTGTAACAGACACTATACAAGTTCTATCTTATTTAGTCCAGACACATTCCTATNCCTCTGGAAGAAATTTTGGACCAAGTAAATAATGGTCTATGAGCTAAATTAGAAGCTTTTTCCAACAAGGTCTTGAAGCCAATTATCTGGTTTCTCATCTATTTTCTCACCTAAGTTTGTCCTGGGAGGGATTTGGATAAAGGCCAAGGCACTATTGACATGCATTTGGACAATGAATTTATCCTCGTTTTCATTTTTAATACATTTCATTTTGTTTGTTATTTGCATAAGTATTTTCACATAATTTAATAACTTCATAAAACAAAATTCATGCAACATTGAGTTTTATGGAGGTGGTATCACGATAGAGGTATTACAGTCTGAATGTAAACATGGCAGCTTTAATCTTACACAGAGTCCCCTGAGTTCAGATTGCCCAAGTTCTGTGACCCTTGTGAATTCGAAGGCAGGAAGAATCAGAGATATGAGTCAGTGTCAGAGCAAGTAGTACGATTTCTTCTGTCTTCACCTACCAGTCTTCTCAATATTTTTTAACCTCTGTGGAACAATAACTTTAGCAAGTATTTGCAATACAGCTATCATAGCAAAATATACCTAGATGTTGTAATGATGATAGTAACAGCAGATGTTTCTTTTCAGTACTAACTCTGTAACAGACACTATACAAGTTCTATCTTATTTAGTCCAGACACATTCCTATAACGTAAGTATTATTGTTAACCCTACTTTACAGATGAAGAATCTGAGATTTAGAAATGTTAGGTAACTTGCTCAAGAGACCACTGGTAGTAAATGGTTTGCTGGAACTCGAAGCCCAATCTATCTCACTCCAGAACTCATTCTCTTTATCTTTGTGGATCATTTAATGTCAACCCATGGCCCTGAGGCTCCCTGAACATGCAAATATCTGGCACAATTCAAGTCTGACTTAACTGAAGTTTCCACTACAAGGCCAAACACTTAATTCCATCGTCTGAATGATGTGTAGATGAGGAGATGGTGCTCAGTGTTTTAAATTTTAGACAGTCTAAATTCATACAAAAAGAAAATTTGACTATCATACCAATATAATAAAATCTTAATCGAGGAAAATGATCACCAAATAAGAGTGTCTATCTAGAAATCATGTGTTTGGGTTCTAATTCGGGAGACAGTTATGTAAGAAGTTTTTTTCACATGTTAGTACCTTCAACTTAGAGATCATGGATATATTTTAAAAAGGTGATATTTTGCTGTCATATATAGTTTTCTTATGCAGTTTATGCAAATGGATGCCTCCAATTATTTTTGCCTTTCCGGAAACTTAATCACCACTAGGTATGCATTAGATGCCACTTCATATTTTCTAAAAGAAGGAAGCATTCTTTTTTTCTTCTATGTTGTGATTTTGGAATGCTTATAAGTATGATCCATTAAAAAAACTTAGCAGGTTTTTTTTTTGCACTCAAATGAGTGTGCAAAGATACATATATAAGGATGTCTTACAACTTTAGATGTAATAGAAATCTATTTAAACAAGTTAAATATCCTTCAAAAGGGGGGTTGATATGTACAATGTAATATCAAACCTAATGAGACAAATATATATAATATGGCTTTTAGAAGTGTTGTTAAAGTACTTTTACCTACAAAGTTGAACTCTCAAATTATATATAAAATTTGAGCCAGATTTGGTTAATAGTTCTACTGTGCACACATAACATATGTGTGAATGGGAGTAATGGTGAAGCGTCGTGTAAATATATCAGTTCTAGAACTCATCAAACCAAATTATTCAAAAGTGGAAGAGGGTTGCAAATTATGGTGAGAGTTTCACTTTTTAGTTTCTACACTTCTGATTTATTTCTTACCAAAAAATGTGTATTTATTTTTTAGAAATAAAAAATAAATTTTTTGTTTGCATTTTGTTTGGCATTCGGTGCTCATGACTATGAGATGCAGCTTACTTTTCCAGCCTATTTTGTCCTAATTTTAGTATCCCACCTCAAGTACAGATTTCACAATTGTGTCCTATTTCTTTACCTCTCTGCCTTTCTGTATTTTGTTCCCTGTGTAGGGGAGGCCCTCACCTTTACTTCTCATGGTCAGGTTCCATTATGTTCTCAGTTCTAATTGCAGTGCTTCTAATAACATTTTTATGTGAATATTTTTTATTCATTTCCTCTCATCTATTCTCATTCCATATTTTTTATTTTTCTGTTACATCACATCATAGTGTGCCTTGTAATAAATACACTAATATATCCATATGAACCATCCATGAAATTAAAAAGTCTTCACACATTTCTTTCCTTTATGATTATATTATACTACATTAGTTTACATTAAGAGGTGCCCTATAATATTGGAAAAATTACTAGCATTTTATTTTTGAGAAATTTTTGAACAGTTACAGCTTTTCTTTGTATCATGATTTTGCTGCTGAAGAATCATCTCTATGTCAAATTGCCAACTGTGGCCAACAATCCACTTCTCAATTCTATATTATAATTTCTACATAATAACTCCATTTGCTGCCTCTGTTCTCTCATATAAACACATTTCAAGAGGCTTAAATGGGAGATGACAGCCCAAATAAAATCTCTTGGACATGAAGGCATTTGCAATTATTTCATAAAATGATGCAAAAATATTGTCACATACAGTATCTCATATGACAAATTCAATAAAATCTCAGAGAACCACAAATTTTTATAGTAAAGTTTCTGCATTAATCAGTCCAGGTGGCTTCCTTTTACATGGACAGGCAGGATTAGTTTCAAAATGATAGACACAGGGGAAAGACACAGACAACCCAAACTGATTTGCAACAGGAGTTTCTTCAGTAGTCATCTGGGTAGGGAATTTTGCTTTGTCACAAGTGACTAGTCCTTGATTGTGAAAGAGTGAATCATCATCCCTCCTTTGAAAGAGAGATAAGTAAGGAAAAGAGCTGTTTAAAAATTATTTTACAACTATTTCCTTTTGAGCTATGACTTCCTAAACTGGAATGTGATCCAGAATAGCTTCCCTTTGAATCCAACATTTGTCTTAAGCATTTTTATTGTCTCGCTTTTCCCTCACCCCATCTCACTTTTCCCCTCCCTCTGTTCAACAGATTTACACTGACTGGGCCAACCACTACCTAGCAAAATCGGGCCACAAGCGGCTGATCAAGGATTTGCAACAAGACATTGCAGATGGAGTACTGCTAGCAGAAATCATCCAGATCATTGGTAAGATCTGCCCTCTGAAAGAAAGCATGAGAGTCTCTGCTCCCACCGTTTTGGTAAAATACAATTTAAGTTGGATGCATACTGAACTGGTTCTTGTATGTTGAGGATTAATGTAGCTTTCCTCTGATTTAATTAAAAAATGTTTACGTGAGAAAGTTTGAAAGAGGCAGTTTGGCCATACTTTTAAATAGCTAAAACTGTATCCTTACATACACTGAATTGTCAGAAATGAATGCTTCATTAAACCATATGTCTCCCATGTGTGCATTTTGTTAGTTGGAGTAACTCATACACTCATAGATTCCTTGAAACTGTATCCTGATCCAGCGGGGACAATTGTGAAAGGTTTCATGTCAGCAGTCATTTGGCACAGGCTAAAGAATTAGCAGCAACTTCCTTCTCAGTCACTTTTTTACTTTTTTTTTTTTTTCTCCTGATTTGTGCATATGGAATTGGCGGCTGCTAACAAGTATGTCCTCTTGTACACAGCTTGGGAGACCGAGTAAATGTAACAGCAGCATTTTTGTTTGGTGGTGTTTTTTTTAAAAGCCTCCTTTTTGTGTGTTTCACTTCATTGCTTGAGCATGTCATTCTTTTTTCTCAATTTTGCTTTATTTCTTGGCTTTAGCAAATGAAAAAGTTGAAGATATCAATGGATGTCCTAGAAGTCAGTCTCAGATGGTAAGAATCATATTAATTCCTTATATACTATATTCATCTTCACTTCCAGAATTAACTGCATTTGTAAGTGGATTAGAAATTTTTTCTGCTTTTCTTCCTACTCTTTTAAGAAACCATTTGACTACATTCTATCATCTGTATTTCTGTGGGTGCAATTTGTGCATGTGATAGCATCAGTACAGTTGAATAAGTATGACTCCTATATAACATATTTACAGGTATTTTACTAGATCTTTGACTTATTTTTGTTCTGATATTCTGGTTAGTTTAATTTAACACTGGTCTGGATGGCAATAAATCCCATTTCCAATTTTAAATGGAACCTTTTTATACAAACAACTGGTTTTAAGAACAGAACTTGCCATGTGCATTTTGAAAATATATAAATAGTATTTATTTTCTTTGTTCATAACAAAGTCCAATGTGTAAACTTTTGGAAGTAGTTTTGAATTCATGCTGCTGTAAGTTTGCTGAGCAGTGACTGATTTTGAGATATGATTCATAGCTTCTTCCAAAAGCCCTCGATCTGGAGGTCTGTCTCTCCCCCAGCCATCTCTTATCTTCACCAACTAGTAAAGCTTGATGTTTTATAATAAAATCATAGATTGATAAACTGCTGAGTGAAAACTGTTTTCTTAATTAGAAAGCTACGACTTAATTTTATGGGACAACCTGTAATACAGAATGCCTTAACTAAAGTTATTACATCAGGCAGACATATTCAGGAATGATAGCCAAAATCCACAAGATGAGGGATCCCCCAAAGCTCTTTATAGCACAGAACAGGCATTTTAAATGAACTTAATGAGTTCTTAGTTGTCAGATAACATGGAAGAACGAAAAAAACCTATGACCTTTTTAAACCTGCTGATCTGCTTTTTAATGTCAGAAAATTGAAATCCAAAATAATAAAAGGAATTTATTTTTAAAGAGTGATTAACTAGCATGTCTGTTTTTTGTTGTTGTTGTTGTTGTTTTCTTTTTCTTTTTTAATAAGCACTCTCAGGACCTATTATAATGTCATGAACTCGGTGTAGCCATTGTGAAAAAAATCACTGTAAATAAGAGGTTCTCTATAAAATACTTCAGTTTCAGTTTTAAGGAAACTTCCTGATGTAATTACTCTGAGCACAAACATGACTTTGTAGAAATTAAATACAGTTGTTTTCTGAAGTTTTACTGAGAGCAAGCTGAATTAAAATATGTTCTGACACTGCTACAGTAATAGCTGTGTGACATTGGGAAAAACACGTAACTTCTCTGAGCCTCAGTTTTCTCATCTGTAAAATGAACCCTAATTAGGATATGATAATGAGATATATATGTGAAAATTCTTAATTAACTAAACTGATATGGAAATGCAGAATGGTATTGCTGCATATTTTATAAAGAGTGCATGCATAGATTAATACCCACTCAATGATTTTTAGGGCTTTATATTTAAAAAGTACCATAGTGCCTGAAAACTGTATATTATGTCTCTTAAACCCAATACTGTTGGTTTTGCTTTCATTATTTTAACCATAAGAAGGTGTTGGATACTATAAAACATTCTAAGTCTAGAAACTCTCACCTACTCTGCTATCATCCCAATTTGATTCTGGCTACAGAGAATTTAATAAACAGGCAAGCTTATACTCAATGACAGAAAAAAACCAAAAAACAAAAAAACAACACACACACACAATC